TGGGTAATAATCACCAGTGTTATTTTGATTGATCTGATCGATAATCATTTCAATGTCTTCATCTACATCATAAGCATAATTGGAGTTACTAGTAAAACTATTTATTTATACATGGTACCTGATATGTCACTTTCAGAACTATCAGATTGATGATATTCACCTACATCATTACAACAGCTTTCCTATAATTTAGATAATCATGCATGCATTAAAATGACCAAAGGTAAATCATAACATTTTCTGAGTCAAATATGCCATTATTATCACTTTCTGAAAAAATAACATGATCACCATAATCATTAAATTTATCTTCACGTCTCTGTTGCAAGCTCTTTTAATAATCATTCAGATCTGACTGACCTTCATCTTCCGGAGAATGAAGATGTACAAGCCATTTATGTGAGAAGGACTCAAAGTGCCGGCAATACTTCGACTTATGTTCATACTTCTTGTCACACAGTGTACAAATGAACTCTAAACATTAATCAAACAAATCAAATGCATCATGGAAGTTTACACGTTTCTCTTTGTAACATTCTTGAGTGAAGGAGAAGAGTAAGTGCCCCAGACCATGCAGTGATTTTAATTGTTATCAAATTAAAGATTCTTCATCCTTCTGGAAAGTATAGCAATAAAGATATAAAATCACCTGCTGCTCTTATAATGGGTTACATGAAGGCTAATACTGAATCTTGTCCAAACTTCACAAGAAATTTTGCGCTACTGGTAAATACGTAATTCATACTGTTCTTTATTGATACACTAAATAGAGAAAATGTATTCCGGATAAACCTATTTTTTCTGAAAAGAAAGCTTTTACGGTTCATTTAAAGCTTGGGTGGAAGAGAAATATGGTCCAGGTAGATATTTGACTGCTCTTGATTGGAAAGAAGTATTAGATAAAGATAGTGGTACCTGCTATAGGAATGAAACTATGACAAGTACAAGTACAAGGAGAGCTAGGAGATTCGGAAGACCCAGCTTCAATGAGTACAGAAGAGGAACAAGCTGGAGATAATCTGCATAATTATGTTTAAGCTCTATAGCTAATACATGTTGTTTCTAAGTTAAACCGAAGTGTGACTTTTCAATCTCATTCATGACTGTGACCTTAATGCTCACGTATTCATTATAAATTAATGATTACAAAGTTGAAACAATAAAAATATCCATGGCTCAACCCTGATCCTTGACATTCATGCATAACTTCTGTTTTGAAGCATCAAGCGTCAATGAATCATTGTTGTGCAACATAAGTGGGTCAAGTTGTAACGAATTGGTGCTCCATCCTGTCACTGGAACAGGTTTGGTAATCAATCATGGCCCATGCATGATGAAGCAACATTGATGTTTCACTAATGATAACTCTTGGCTGTCAATTATACTATCTTGCTATGTGTGGGTGCTTAAAGCATTATTGTAGAAGTGCATTGTTGTAAAATTCCATTTTGGACAACTTTCTTTTCTTTTCATTACAAAAAGACCTTGAAAAGGTCAAAAATTATAACTGACAACCAAATAGAGGCATGTTTCAAAATTAAGATACTTCAGCGTAAACAATTGTTTCTCTCCACAATGTGGGCACAACCTTGAAGTAGATCAATTTCAAACCCACTGAAATAAGTCAAGTGAGAAGCCAATGACTCTATCTCATGGACTGCATCAGTAGCTTCTGGTAGAATAGATGAATCTATGATAGCAGCCATGTTAGCATGTGCCATCATCCCATTTAGTTTTCCACTTTTGTGTTCTGAAAGTGAAGTAAATAAACAGTGAACAATAGCAGGAATATGGCCATGTTGACAACTTGCCACGAATTGTATGCTGATTCCATGAAGCAACTGCTAATTTCATTCCGATGTTACCTACACGAATAGAAAACCAAGAAACGCAATACTTTATCATGGCATCATCCATTTGAATCATCCCTCTTTTTTCCAATTCCTTAGACAAGCCGTGACAGGGTAGTTAACTCTGCTATATATCTCCGCCCATATTCTCTCGACAGGACGGTTCTATTGATAATAAATAAACTTATTATAAAAAATGGTCACAATAGTGTAAGTTATGAAACTTCAAGAAAGCAAAATTCATTTTGAAACAATCTAATACCCAAAACAAATTCATTTTTTAACATATACATGTATTTGGTTCATTCACTGTTTGCTTAATAAGTGATGGTACTCTTGGCTATATAGTAAAATGAAAATTCTAAAAATAGAAATGGCAAATGGTTTTAAATCAGACTTGAGTATTCGCATGTCAACAAAAAATTGACATGTATGCACAAATTTGTCCCATTCGTAATGGGAAGAGTAACTATTAATTAAGCATTATGTAATTTCGAGTCTATTATACTGTTGTGAGAAATATTACCAAGGTAGAGGTAATTTGTAAATGAGGAGCATGTTCAGTAATGTATCTTAATGAATCTCATTGCTCCTAAACAAACAGCATAAGCTGCCATTCTTTTCCATGGTCTACCCTGACTTGATCTCATAAACTGTACTGGACAAACATTGGTCTAATTTTTTAAGGATACAAAATGGGTTAAATGGAGAAAAGGTATTTACCTATAAAAATGTGAGTATATTTCTACACAATTTTTTAAAGGCATAGTTACAGACATGCTTAAAATGAAACTTTCAAAAATCCTAATAAAATGATGATGCCAAAAACAATGTACAAAATAATTTGTAGTTTTATAGTATTTTAAAAATACATTTCAACTACATAAGGTGTAAAACTTTTGATTTTAGAATTTAGATATAAAATTTCGAAGTTCCAAATTTTATAATTGTCTTTTCAAAACCAGCTATGCTTAAAATAATAATACTTTCAAGAATCCCAAATTATTTCATTTTTAAGAGCAGCTTGGCCATTGATACACACAATATCTAAGCATAGCCACAGCCCAGCCCATGCTTGGCTGCTTCACCACACTGACAAAATGGCGTCCAATGATTATTTGCGTGATATAGAGGACTTCATAAAGGACAAGATCATAAATGAAAATTGGATGCATTCTCGTCTCAGTCAGTTTCTTAAACTTAGGTATCCAAGCATTAGAGGCTTCAGTGTTCATACTATTGAGAGATTTTGTGCTGACAAGGGAATACACAGAACCAGTCGATTGAATGATGTGGCTATAGAGCAATTTGTCTCTACAGCTGCGAGAATTGTAAGTAATATCAACGGTATTCTAAGTTTCCAATGGGACTTTGGGGTGCCTGCCTCACCACACCCTTACGTAAGTGTACAATGACTAATTAGTCAGTATACCGTATATGATATGCTACATACTGGGTATTTCATGGGTATTAAATTACTTGAAATTTTTGAATTTTGGACAAATTTGCAAATTTGAAATCAGCAATATAGCGTGCTGATTGTATAGTAGGTGTGGTAATTACATTAAAATGGCAAAAAAAATTTATTCGCGAATACAAACATAAAGCTAAATTGTGAAATTTATACCCACAAAATATATGGCATATACACTATATAGGTTTCACCAAATTAATGATTAACTAGAAATCACACTAATGTTAGCCCCTCACTTGACCCTGAAGTACATGTACAACCTAGCTTTCTACTTTACCAGTAAGTGTTCTGCCCATTAAATGGTTGATGTTGTATCAGTAAAATGTTACCTGACTTTGTATATACATTTATAACATAATGAACACACCCCAGGTTAAGTGACATTTATAAAGATTATTTCAATAATTTATGTAATGAGTTAATGAAGCAGAATGTATGAATCACAGCATGAAGAGGCACAAGTCCATGAGTGTGACATTAAACATTGTATATAATCTCTACTGATAATCCCAATATTTCATGATATTGAACTGAATCTATTTTGAGCTGTATTTTTTTGCAAAAAATATTTTAAAATATTGAATCACCATGATTCAAGTTTTCGTGCATGCATAGGGGTGATACAGGCAAGTGATTATGATGTATAAATTAATGTATATATAATAGTGTGCCAGTAAAACAAAATAAGCATTGTGGGTGGGTATCTGCAGTGGCATAGCTACATGAGGGCCTGCAGGGGCCTGTGCCTTAGTTAAAAAGTGGAAATTTAATTAAATTCATTGTTTTTATTAATTAATATTTAATTAATTATACCTTTTGTGGGTGAGGTCGAAATTAGTGAATAATTAATAATCCATCCGTACGCACTGAATTGGTTCGGTTCTTTACTTATAAAGAGACAGAAGACCCTTTTCGACTATGGAGTGAAGGGAAAAATGTTGATGATTAAATAGTTACTGTACCACTCGATGAAGATTGTTCCTCTAATGAGACAGTCACTCCTGACCAAACTACAGAAACTCCAGCTGCTGCTTATTCCACCAGTAGTGGTCCTCCTAGTAGTGGAGAAGCACCTAAAGACATAGCCTTAACAGCCCAGCAGCCACCAGTTCAATCCATCATAAAATACCCAAGTACATCTATAGGCGGTAACCATAGCTTTAGTTCTAACTGGTATGCAAAATTCAGTTGGTTGGAACACTGTAAAAAAAGATGCAGGTTATTGTTATCCATGCTGATTATTTAGAACTAAGGATGGTTTGCATCACACTTTTGTTTCATCTGGTTTTTGAACTTGGAAACATGCAACAGGTGCCAATGGAATTCTCACACAACATGACAAGAATATAGCTCATACTGGGGCTATGGAGGCATGGCTACAATACAAACTTAACCGGGAACGTCACATCCATTGGAGAAAGAATAAACAGTGAACGTGCACAAGTTGTAACCTACAATCGGCATTATTTGAAAACAATCATAGAAGCTCTACTTCTCTGTGCAAGACAAGAAATTGGATGAAGAGGATATAGAGTGTCACAGAATGACTTAAACAGAGGTCACTTCCTTGAAATCTTGTCAACTACGTATGATCCAGTTGTGAAACACAAACATGCAAATGGTCTGCGGAATGCAGTATGCACTTCTCCTGAAATACAAAACACCCTTTACAGATAATGGGTGACTTAGTAAGTGAGAAAATATGCACAGACATGAGGCAGGCAGGTGCATTTTCTATCCTTGTTGATGAAACAAAGGACATTGCTAAGATTGAACAGGTTGCACTAGTTATTCGATATGTTAAACCAACCAGAAGTGAAATACATAAAAGATTTTTGATGTATGTTAAAGCCTCAAGCTTAAATGCCAAATCTATGACAGAATATATTACAAGTACATTAGAAAAATATCACTTAGACGTACAGAAAGTGGTGTCACAAGGATATGATGGCACCAGTGTGATGTATGGGAGCTGTACTGGGGTACAAAGATGGATTTTTGAAATAGTACCACAAGCTATATATGTTCATTGTTTTGCTCATGTTTTGAACTTGGTTCTAGTTGACTGCTCCAAAAAAGTTTCTCATGCGGGGAAATTTTTTGCTCTATTGGAAAGCTTATACCTCTTCTTATCTTCTGCAAAAGCTCATACTCTTTTTGCAAAGAACCAAGAAGTGCTTTATCCTTCAGAGCCTAAACTGGAATAAAAAGATTGTCAGACACCAGGTGGACGCCCGCCAGTATATGGCAGTTGATACCATTTGTAGAAGGTTTGATGTAGTAGCAACACTTTAGGATATCGAAGATGGTGACAACATAAATCAATCAAATCAAAAGGCCTTTAGTTGCAAATTCAAAATTTCAGCATTCTAGTTACAGTCGTAATTTTTGATTGTATATTGTCATGTACAAAAATGCTTTCTGAGTTTCTTTAGTGTCATACTTGTAACTTATCAAAAGCCACCGATCTGGTTGCAGGCACTATAGCAACAGTAGAAAGATATAGGTCAGATTCATCTTGGGAGCATCTATATTCTTATGCAAAGGCTGTAGCTAATCAACATGGAGTACCATTGGGCAGTTTATGTCATGGCCGGCAGCGTAGGCACACAAACCCTCCACATCATTTTGATAAGTTTGTTGCAATAGAAGGCACTGGTGTTAGTAATATCTTGTCAACAAATGAAGAATTCAAAGTTAATTTGTACTTTTCTATTCTAGACACAATGCTAAGTGAACTGAAGGGATGATTTAGTTCCAAAAACCTGGCCATAATGATATCAATCCAGGCTGGCATCCGCACAGTGATTTTTTCATGGTTCCTGACTCTCTTGAGCCACTTATTGATCATTATGGAATAGAATTTCAGGTCTTTCAAAGAGAATTGGAAGTAGCTAAGAATACATTAATAGGTAAAACTGGTGAAATGGAAACAATAAGTGATGTACTGCAAGAGTTAATCCCTCTCATTGAAGCTTTCGCGCTTTAAGTGAAACTTCTCCCAATGGCACTTACATTGCTGTGAGCACTGCTCAATGCAAAAGATGCTTTTCAGCTCTCAAAATCCTATTTTAGGTCAACGATGATTGAAGAAAGGCTGATTAATCTGGCCACTCTTTCTATTGAGCGTGATACTTCTCATGACATATCACTAGAAATAGTTGTAGATAGATTTTGTTCATGTGAGACAACTAGGCGAGTTACACATACATGAATCATGACTGACTAAGTTTATAGTTTATTGAAAAGTTTACATTGATTATTGACACGTAAATGTACATAATAATCATTAGTTTAACTTATGAACTTTTGTAAATTGTTTAAATCATGGCAATCCAAATTTGAAGAATCATTACCTAAAAAATTAAAATTTTAAACATTAGATTTGAAAATTTAAATGAAAAGACATTTCGTGATCAGAAAACAGGGAGGCCTGGGAAACGCTTCCTTCACGTGGTAAAAATGGGCATGGCCAAAATTGTCATGTGTATTTCCTTCCCTGTTCCTCAATGCCCTGGCAGCTTCAATAGTCTAGCTACGCCACTGGGTATCTGGATAACATAATGTCATTGGAGTGACCTTATTTGAATCAGACTTAAGCACAGTAATGACCGCCTGATAAATTGGCTGGCAATGCACATTTGCACCTGCATTTTATTATAGTAATTACACCAGATGTGTTAATGTTATATATATTATATTAGAAAGATTTCAAAACACTTCAAATACACATGATGTACCTAGCCCATTACTTAAGTAAAAGTACAATTGTTACATAATAAGGACAAAGTATAAGTGCACTAAAGTATTGAATAACTCCATTAAGCATAGATATAACAATTGTTCAAATTTATGTGTTCCATTTTGTGAAATGGCTATTAAATCGAAAATGTGCCCAAAATTTTCCCTTTCAAATTACCTGTTATGAAATATGTAGTGTATGATTTTACTTGTATCATTAGGTTGGTCCTTTATATGGAAGGAAAACCATGACTGAATTTTTGAGGTCTCATGAAGTTTGTGTAAGCAAGACAAGAGTGGGACAAGCACTTAGATATGCCAATCCTGTGTACCACAGGGACAGAACTGAAGCTGCCACAAAATCATTGAATCTTGTTCCATAGAGTGCGGACTACTTTGGCCACAAGGTCCACATTGACCTAAATGAGAAATTGGTCATGTATGGTGTCACTCACATTTGTGCCATTCATGGTTTTAGCAACAAAATTTTTGCTTTCATAACATCACCAATAAAGAATTGTATTGAAATCTATGCACATCTTTACATGTACAGTGTATAACTTTTTCTTTTTGTAATAATTTTATTTGTTCTTGCAATAGACCTATTGGTATGGCTTGTGGGTGTCAGATCCAAGTTGACCACGAAAAAGAGTGGCCGCTAATCCTTTTTATCCAAAAAAAATTAGCACACCTATGGTACAACGCACAACGTGCTTCACATCTCCAAACAACATCCAAATTGGTAATAGCACACACTGGACTGCCTATTTCTTACAAATTTAATCAATATGGTGTAGCCTGATGCAGAAAAATTTTAGAAGACAAGCATTGCATCACGAATCTAATGTTAATTGACCATGCATCCACATAGTTTAATAAATTTCTCTTGTATCTACTTTTATTATATCCTCTCTGCATGTATAGTTTCATGTAACTGCATGTATTTGAAATAATGTGTTAAAGATGCAAAAAGTAGAAATAAAACTTATAATTTAAATGATTTTTGAGATATTCTCTTCCCTCTTCACAAAAGTGCTGCCACTAGTACTATTTTTGGAAGTAGATTGCCGTTAACTGTAAAACGATTGTCATATTTTTGCCCATCCATGCTAAGTCTGGCAACACCTCTCATGACCAGACTAATCCATGCTTGTCCATGCTGCTGCCTATGATCGAATGTACTCTGTTGAATGAAATCACTGCATGATTACAAAGTACATAAAAAAGGTTGATAAATGTGACCATAATTGACAAAAGGTACTTTATGGCGGATAGGAAAATTGGTCTTTATAGCCTCAAAATTCCAACTTCATGAGCTCCTATCATCATTAAATTACCTCAGAGGATGCTTAAAGTTACTGTGTAACTTTTAGAAATAATAGTTGTCTGACAGAGCACCCACAGGTTGATACTTTTTATTACATTGATGAATTTTAAAATCCACCTTAAGGTACTTCTTGTCAATTATGGTCACAAATTGCAACTAACTATAATTATATCACACTAGAATCATCCAGTGGAAAGAATAAGGGTAGAAATCAACAACAGAGTCAATTCAAAAATTAAAAAAAGCTTTTGGAGAACCAGTTTATTAATACAGAGAAATTTTAAAAAAAATTGTTGTTACCCCAATGAAAAGAACAGCTGTCATCTATTGGCTTGTTTTGAGGAAGACAGTCAGTGCAAAAGTAAACAAAAGAAACCTAGAGCCACTTCTCACGATCCAATGCTATGAACTTTTTTGCATTGCTTATCAAGCAATCAATTACAATGATGCTGTAAGTCTAATAGATCATGCCTTGAGTGAAGCAGATGTACAGTCAAACCTCCCAAAGTAGACAGTCCAAGAAGCAGACACTCTCTAAAACAAGCAAACCAGCAGTCACAGTGGAAAATAGTGCACCTCAGTCTACATGACAGCATGGGTCTATTGAAAATGCTGTGACATGCAGTGATGCTGCATGGTTGGCACGTGGTTACCATAGTCTCAATGCTACATGTACTCTACAATGCTATCAAACTGGTGGGCTTTTGTACTATTATAAGCATTTTACTCAAAAATGTAACAATGATGCAACAATGATGTAACAGGAAAAGAATTGTTTCAAGGTACATCGAAATCTGAAGAGGGATTTGGAGCTCAGTGGGGTTTTTTAAAAATTGTACGTGATAAAATGAACATTAGCATTCTTGTGCAGGATGATGATAAATCTTCAAAAGCATTGCTTTCAAATTTTCCTCATTGTAGAATAATTTTGCTTTGTGGTCATAATGCACAAAATCATGAGAAACAATTAAAAAGGCTTGCGAAGGAAAATATTTAAAAAAATCAAATAAAAAAGTACAGTACATCCTCTATTATCCGTGCCTTGCATATCCACCTAACTCTTGTTTATCCAAACACGTCTGTCTTTAATGCGCATGCTCAGATAAGTTAATTAATTTAATAACTAGTTTAGCATGGCTACTGATGGACTAGCTAGGAACTTGCTTAAGAGGAAAAAGGTTGTTTTAACCATTGAAGAGAAGCTTCAGATACTGGGAGAGTTAAAGAAAGGAGTATTGTATATATTTATCTCAGAATAGGATGGGATTGGTCGATCTACCATGGCAGACATAAAGAAAAATGAGTCAAAGCTGCGTGAGTACAAGAAATGAAAGACTACGTTTGGATTTAAAAAAGTACAGGCCAAGGTAATGAAATCAGGTAACGATGAGCTCGTAGATGCTGCTCTTTACATTTGGTTTCATGAGCAACGAGAAAAGAACTTACCTGTAAATGGTGCTTTCCTAAAGGATAAGTCCATGTTGTTGTTTGCTCAATTATATCCAGACTCGCCTAAGGGATTCATGGTAGCACTGGCTATCAGTGGAGGTTCTGCAAGTGATTTGGCATTAAATATATCTCAGTTGCAGCAAAGCAAGTGTCTGCAGACTTAATATCTGCTTGTGTTTTCCAGTTTCAGTTTGCCTCACAAATTCAAGACTATACTCATGATCAAGTTTTTAACTGTGACAAAACCAGATTTCAGTTCCGTTTACTTCCAAAAAAGACCTTAGCTAGTGTTTTTGAAAGGCATGCTGATGGAAGGAAAAAGTCTAAACACCGTATAACACTAAATGCTTGTGCAAATCTCACTGGCAGCATAAAATTGCCACAGTTATTCATTGGAAAAGCAACTCGCCCCATATGTTTTAAAGAAACTAACCTTGCTAATATCCTTGTCATTTATCACAACCAAAAAATGCAAGGGTAAATTCTCGCAACATCACTTCATCGCTTCATGATTACTTCGTTCCTTATATCAGTCTACTCGAAGGCGCTACACAATTGTGAAAGGGTCCTCCTATGGCTTCACTTCCTGATACATCACTGATAAAATGATAGTCATTGCCAATGGCTTATGAATATAATTAAAATCATTCAAAATTTGAACCACGTGTAGCTGATAAGCTGATAGTTAGG